CCCAGAGGGCAGAGGCAGGTGTGGTTGGGGGTGGGGGGGAATCACAAGCCAGTAAGTAGAGACTGGACAAGCTTCCTAGCGGGGAGGGCTGCCCCAAAGTGGGGTGCTCTGGCTGACTTGGGGTAAGTCCAAGGGAGTCTGAGGGGACAAGTGGTTTTGTCATTTTTTTTTGTTTAACCCCAAACTATTTCTCAAGACAGTTGGATCTGGGTCAGCCAAGGTCTCACTGTGGTCTCCAGAGCTTGCCTGGGTGGGAGTCATTGTCTGAGTCATGGATAGGGGACAAGGCAGGTTTGGATTTACAGTCCCAGACCAGTCCCATCTCCCTCCCTTAGAGTCTGCCATGGATAAAGGGCACAGAGGGCAGAGAGGCTCTCCTAGGGGAAGGGAGCTATATCCCCACCTTTTTCTGGAAAGGTGAACAGAATTGCAGGTTAAGTGGGAGGTCAGGTGGAGTCCAGCTTGAGGGCCAAAGTCCAGGGGAGGGGAGGGAAGCCTACTCCAAAGAGGAGTTATTGGTGAAATGATGATGGTATTATTATAAATACCCAAATTAACTATAAAGGACATATGAAGAAAGATGCTATCTGCATCCACAGAAAGAACTAGGATTGTAGAATTTTATGTGTGTGTGTGTGTGTATTTTGTTTGCATGCATATGTATTTAATGTTGAACCCCATGAACCCCAATTTGGAACAGAATCTGCTAAAAGAAAGGGACAAATGAAATTAGGGTGCGTGTGTCACCATTTTTAATTTCCCTCAAGCTGGCTTGACACGCACTGCATGGGAGTTCAGTCCAAAACTGGGCCCCCTAAGGGGGCCAATTCAGATTTGGCTCCATTTGAGATTTGGGGGTACAGGTTATATGCCCTTCGAAGACTAGGTGTTCCCAAGGGATGCCAATCAACTCTGGGAGGTGGGCTATATTAAAATGAGGGTCTTTGAGTACATGACCAGGTCACTTAATCCTGGTCAAAGAGACATCAGTTTCCATAGCACCTGTCTTGACAATAGGGAGGAATCAACATTCTCCCAGACCTGTCTGGGCAACATAAGGAGCAGGAATAGACCTATTTAGATTAGATCTTTATGTCCTTCTGAAGAAGGACTAAACTTTAAAAGAAAGGGGAATGGGGAAGCTCTGAGTCTCTAAGATAATGATTACTAAGGAAAATAATTTTTCATAATATACACACATATTTGTGTCTAATGGTAGCCATGGGGGGGAAGAAAAAAAGGAAAAAAGAAAAAAAGAAATTTACATGATAACTTTATTATTTATTTAAAAGGAATAGCAAGTTATAATATATAGATTATATGCAAAAATAGATTTGCAATTTCATGTGCAATCTTCTTTTTAATTATATTATGTTATGGAAATGCCTGTTTTATTCCATAAATCAAAAATTAAATTTAAAAAAGATGGTGAGACTTGTCCCCCCCCCCAGACAGCAAGTTTTCATGGCAGCCATGAGTCCCCTCCTGTCTGGGATCCCCTTGGGTTCTCTGGCCTTTCTCTGTCCCTTTAAAGCTTCCACCACCACCCCAGCCCTGCCCCCCTTCCCAGCTCTCTCCCTGGTTTATTGCTGATGCCAGGATGTTTGATTTTGGAGGCTGATGAGAAGAGCCAGGCCTCGGGGCAGATGCCAGGTAGTCCCTCCCTCCTCTCTTGAGTGTGGGGGAGGAGGAAATCCTTCAATCCATAAAGAACCCTAGGCTGCAGACTTCCTCTCTGTGAGGAAGGCAGCCCATGCAGTAGATGGACGCTTGAAGTTTGAGTCAAAGGGTTTGGGTTCAAACCTCATCTCTATCACTTGCTACCTTTGTGACCTAGGGCCAGTCCCTTCCTCTCCCCTGGGTCTTGGGTTCTTTGTCTGTAAAATGACAGAGTTGGGCTCAAGGACTCTTCAGGTCCCCTCCAGACCTAGGATCCTCAGAGGCCCTTTAGCCTTGGGGGTCAGTGGAGGGCATGGCCAACAGATCTGCCAGTTCAAAGTGTGACTGTAGCTGATGCTAAGGATTTAGGAGGCTGGGCCCTTCTTCCACCTCAGGCTATTTGGCTCTGTCCCAGGCAGAGGAGGAAGACAGGGATCTGTCTTATCTAGGGCCCCCAGACTGGTGGAGCCATTTCCCAGCAATGAGCTTTTGTTGTCTCTGAAGCCTTTCCTAACCTTTCTGAAATAATCCCCCATCCTTTCCAGAGTTCTCGTAAAAGCCAAGTGACAGAATGTCCAGGAAAGCCCTTTGAAGACATAGATGGGAAAAGAGTGTGATGTGGAGTCAGAGGGCCTGGGTTCAAATCCTGACTTTGCCATTTGTCACCTTCACCTCCACGGGCCTCAGTTTCCTTGTGGAAAATGAAGGGACTGGGTAGATGCTAGCCCAGGTTCATCCTAGCTTCCCATTCCATTGCACTGGATTCAGTAAATATCTGCTAAGCACCTACTGTGCGCAGGACCTGAACGTCTTGCTGTTGCTGGGATCTGTGAGTTCCCTGATGTAAGGAATTCCAGGAGAGCAGCAAGTATCATCTCTGACTTGCTTGTGTGTGTGGCCTTGGACAGATTAATCATTTCTCCTCTCTGGGCTGCTGTACCAGGAAAGTGAAAAGGGTGGGCGTGCTCTCCAAGGTCCCTCTGAGCTCTGGAGCCAGCGCCAGGACAAGAGCTGATATTTATGCCGGCAGACCCTCTGTTCGACAACCTCATGAGGCAAGTCTTACTGTTATTCTTGTTAGACAAATGAGAAAACCAAGTTCACAGAGCCAGATGGCAGAGTGAAAGCAGTGACTTGCTTGAGCTCTCCCCCAAACCCCTCCAAATACCTGAAAAACAATGGCTCGAAACAAATTCTAAAGCAGCAGAACCCACAAAAAGATGAGCCTAGTCCAGGCTCACAGAGCTAGTCTGAGGTGAGATGTTAACCCAGGGCTTCCTGACTCCAATCAGTTCCTATGGGTTTGACTTGTATCACTGACTCAGAAAAGTCTCTAGGAGGAGCTAGCTGCTTCCCCTTCTCCCTTCTCCCCAGCTCATCTCTCCAGGGCTCAGCAGGGATTTAACCACTAGGTAGAGCCCAGGTGCCTACGAGGATGGACGTGGCCTCACCTGTAATAGGCTATTTAGGAATGACTAGAATAAGCAGTCTCCCCCAGGGCTAAGGTTTGCTCAGGCCCTGCTATGGACTCTGGGATCTGTGGGTTGGCTCTGGGTTCTCTCCCTGGCTGGAGACTCCATCAAATGATAATAATAACAGGTTGCTGTGAGGATCAAATGAGATAAATATTTGTAAAAGTACTTAGCATACTGCCTGGCACACAGTAGGTACATTATAAATACTTATTCCCTTCCCCCTTCCTTTCCCCTGTCTTGGCCATTAGCACCTTCCTGTAACTTAAGGCTTTAGCACCTAGTTCTTAACCGCAATTCTGGGAACGGAAAAAAATTGTTAATTGTGTTTTAATATAACTGGCTTCTTTGTAAGTGTGTGTGTGTTATTTTATGCTTTTAAAAGTCATTCTGAGAATGGGTCCATAGATTTCAGCATGTTGCTAAAGGGGTCCTGACAACAGGTTAAGAACCCCTGCCTTGGACAGTTGCCTGGGGCAATCTAGCCAGAGTCTTCAGCCCAGAAATGTTGGAGGTTGGGCTTGAACCCAGGCTTTCCCAGCTCTGAGGCTGGCTCCTTCTTTACTCTGGGAAACAGTCATACAATAAAACAATGCAATCTTATTATAGGAGAGCATTTAGGAGGCATGCGAAGCCGGAAGTCAGTGTGTGTGTTGGGATTGGGGAGGAGGGCAAACTGTAGCTGTTCCTAAACTCAATCTGTTTGTTCACAGACTCCCGGAGCTGGAAGGGATTGTAAAGACGATTCATTTCAAAGCACCTAATTTTACAGATGAGGAAACCCAGGCCCAAAGATCATTGTGTGTGCTCAAGGGCACATGAGGCAAGTCATATCAAGAAGCCACCACCACCTAGACCTGGGAGCCACGTCTCCAGGCTGGTGAGAAAGGACAGCGGAGCTGGGTCTTGAGAGGAGGCAGATGGAGGAGCTGGTTGGGGGGAGGCTGGTTCCTAGAAGTCTGGGCCAGGTAGAGATCAATTAATCAGTGAAGGGGCATTTAATAAATGTCTCTTGGCACTGTGAGCCCGATACTGTGCTGACATTTGTGATGAGGTACTCAGTGGCACAAGGTGAGAATGCTTTCTGGGGTTGTTTTGGAAAGCATCCTCTCCGTTTGGGGGGTGGAGGTGGACGAAGGAGTGCTCAGACTCCTCACCTCCCAAAAAAGGGCAAGGAGGGTGTAGCTGCTGACCAGGTTAGTAAGGTGGAGGGTAGGCTGGCATGCCTGGGCAGTGGAGACAGGGAGATGGAGACCCTCCCCCATATACACACGGATAACATTACCCACACACACGCAGACACACGTGCACAAACGTGCCATGAGCACCGACAGGCACACGCATAGACACGCAGACTTGTATATACTGACAACAGCTACGCATATGTACAGAGACAACAGGCACGCACACATATATACACGGGGGCACCAGAAAGAGATTCAAACAACCTTTAAAAAATTTTTTTATTCCAAGGAACGACTCCACGGGAGGGGGAGAAGGAGGGAGATCTGGGCGACTAAAAAAAAAGATGCCAATAAAACGTATTTTTTAAAAAGGGACCGACACACAGCCCCCTGGAGACAAACACGCGGACGCCGGAGCCAGACACCCACCCGCAAACACGCCACCGGCGCCTCCACCCATCGCCCACTAGGCACGAGTCAATTACCCCCTCGGAGGCGGGGCTGGAGGAGCGAGCGGAGCTCTGGGGGCGGGGCCTGAAGGGATGGGCGGGGCTTGGCTCCTCAAGGTTTTCCACCAGGGCGGGGCAACCCGCTCGCTCGATTCCCCCCCTCCCGCTCCCGCCCCTCGCCGGAGGCTCCGCCCCCCACGTGACTCCGCTGCCGTTCGGGACTGGCTGCAGCGACAGTTGCCCGGGTGACGGCAGAGCGGCCTGGCCTGGTTCAGAGCGCCCCGTGATCCGCGGCCCCCGGCGTCCTGGCATCCCCAGCGCGCTCCCGACCACTGCGGGCCGGGTAAGCGGCCTCCCCACGGCCCCCAAGGGCCCGCTCCGCCGCCTGGGCCGTCCTCCGGCTACAGCCTCGGGCCGCCGCGTGGGCTCCGCGACGCCCTGCCGGGTGGGCCCGGGGAGGCCACGCCCCCTCCCCACGACGCATCTCTTTGGCCCCGCCCCTTCACCTTATCCTCCCCCCGCCCCAGGACACTCACTCTCCTGACCCCCTCTTCTCCTGAGCCCCTCCCCTAGACCCCCCTCTGGGCCCCTGCCCCTCCCCCTCTCCTGAGCCTCTCTTGTCCTCAGCCCCTTCCCTGGACCCCCCTCTTCTCCTCAGCCCCTCCCGTGGATCCCCCCTTCCTAGGCCCCTGCTCCTCTCCTGGGCCCCCTCTTCTCCTCAGCCCCTCCCTCTTCACTCCTCCCCCCTTAGGGAGCTGGCTCCTGCCCCATCAGAGGAGGGGGAGTCCTGGGGCCTCCTAGAGTTGGGGTCGGGGCCTTGGATGGGGGGGGTCCTTGGTTTTCACCCACGTCTTCCATCAGTAAACATAAACCCAGATTTTGAGCAGAGGGTCGTGGGGTCCAGTACCCGGCCCCCACTTACCAGGCTCCCCTTCTCTCTCTTTGTAGAGGAGCCGCCTCAGGTGCAGAGACTGCTTCATTTTTGTCTTTTTGCGCTCAGGGCCTGGTAGGTGCTTCCTTTATACTTGTTCATTGATTACGGGCTGGGGGGATTCTGCCTTCATTCACTCATTCACTCATTCATTCACTCATTCACTCATTCACTCATTCTGCCTGCATCCCCCCCCACCCCCTTCCCACCACCAGCCTGCACTGACAAGATGCAGGAATAGACAGACCCTGGTTTCCATCCAGGGAGGGGAGGGGGCTGGGGCTGGGGGCTGCAGGTGAACCCATAACTCTGGTGCCCCTGGGAGTTCAGAGGACAGAGCTCCCTGCTGTCTGTGGGATGGGGGGAGGGTGGGTCAGAGAAGGGGAGGCCTCTGAGGGAGCAGATGCAGGGACACAGGGATGCTCCAGTGGTCAGAATGTTGAGTGTTTGGATTCTGAGCCTGGAGTGACAGGGTCAGAGATGGGCAGACTTCAAGGTGTTCTGTAAAAGTGGCTTGTGATTATTGTGACAATCCAAGAGAAAGGTAACGAGGGCTGAACCCACTCTGGAGACAGTGGGAGAAGGAAGAAAGGCGCACAGTGAGATCAGTGTCCCCCAGAGGAGCCTCTCTACAGGTCATCCAGACACGGTTGTTGTCTTTCCCATGAGAGGGCAGGGGCTGTTTGTTTGGAGAAGTCAGATGGCTGGGGTGGGGGTAGGGGTCAGAAACAATTGCAGTTGTCCTCAAATTGTCCTCCAGGGTTGTAGGAAGTACCCAAGTCGGATGGCAGCCACAGGGTTAATTCTCCGGGCTGCGGTGCCTGGGCACAGGCTTGGTTACCAGGGGCCTTTTCCAGCCTCTTCCTCACCTCTCAAGTACTGAGGGCCCTGAGGCATAGAGCACGTGGGATCCCTGGGGGAGGCTTCTGGCTGACACAGGAGAGGGGAGGGAGATTAGTAATCCAGGTCTGGGGCAGGGAGCTCTGAGGAAGCAGCTGGAAATGTGAGGTCAGTACTCAAGAGAGACCTCGGGATTAGAGAGGAGAGAGATTTGGGAGGCATCAGCACAGATGCAGGTTGCGTCCAATGGGCCGATTCCCCCCTCCACTCGCTGCTGAAATATGACTCAGAGTTATCGTGACCTGCGATCACGAGTTCTGCTCATTTTTCTTCCTGCTCATCTTCTTTACTGTTTCTGCTGCATTTGCCCATCTGTGTTAGCGACTGTTCTCTCCTCCCTGTTTCTGCTGTCTCTAGGATTGTGTCTAACCATTCCTTCCTTCTTCATCTCCTTCACTGGTGCATTGTACTCTTCCCTCCCCTAAGTGTGAGTGATTTCTAAGGCCCTATCCTAGACACTTTCCTTTTCTCTTTATGATGAGTACATTGACTTCAGCAGTTCAGCCCTCATCTCTTCCCAGAAGGCTCCAAGATCTGTACATTCAATCTCAGCCTCCTCCTGGAGCCTTAGTCCCGATATCCCTTTGGCACTCCCAATTCAACATGTTCAAAATAATGGGATAACTGAAAAGACCTTGGGCCTGTAGTTAGGAGGCTGTTGCTATTGAATTGTGTCCGACTCTTTGCAATTCCATTTGGGGTTTTCTTGGCAAAGATACAGGAGGGGTTTGCCATTTCCTTCTTTAGTTCATTTGACAGATGAGGAAACTGAGTTAAGTGACTTGCCCAGGGTCACACAGCTAGCAAGTGTCTAAGGCCACATTTAAACTCAGGAAGATGGGTCTTCCTGACTTCAGGCCCAGAATTCTGTCCACTGTGGCACCACCTAGCTGCTTCAGTAGTTAGGAGGACCTGGGTTCAAATCCCACTTCAGATGGGTGGAAGTGGGGATTGGGGGGAATTGGATTTTGTGGTTTCCAGGGTCCCTTCTAGCTCTAAACCTGTGATTTGTGACCTCTGAAGTGGTAGGCACTGGTCAGTAGAAGTTGGGTGAACTGAATTTCTTGAGTCATCTTTCTTCAGAATTGATCTGGAAAAAAATAGCAAAAGTAGAATGTGGCTTTAAAATCTATGCTATGGAAAAAATAAATTATGTGTACTTGAAAAAACTAAAGTCCCTCCCCCCAAGCAATGATAATGTATTTTTGGTAGGGGGAAAATGGATTTAATCTCATTTTTCTCGGTAGAGGTTTAAACCGAGTGACCCCAACAAGAAATGAGATATGAACCAGCAGACACAGAGACTCATAAAAGTCTTAGATTTGGAGGAGACCTGAGAGGGCATGAAGTTCAACCACCTCATTTTTCCATTGGGAAAACTGAGGCCCACACAGGAACAATGACTTTCATCAAGTCACAAGGAAGGAGGGCTAGAACCTGAGACTTCTGATTCTTCACAGGCTGTGCTTAACATCAACGAGCAGGGAATTTGAAGTCTAGTGGGGAATGGTGACCCTGGGGCAGTTAGACATTAACCGCATGGGAGGGAGGTGAGAGAAGATCCATTTCAGTTGCAGCCCCTTCCAGTTTCACAGGTGGCTGAATGGAATGGTTGACAACATCTTTTTTGTTTTATAGGTATTTCTGTTCTGAGATCGTTAGTGGGTGTTCAGAATGGGAGATATTCTAGCCTCTGAAGCTGAATTGCTTGGACTGGTGAAAGAGGTATACATTCATTTATTGGTTCATTCCACAAGCATTTTGGAGGGGTGGGAAGGAGCTGGAGAAACAGCAGGGCTAAAGGGGAGATCAGGGCAGGCCTCACAGAGGAGGTGCGAAAGGGGCTGGGACTGGAAGGGAGCCAGGGGTTTGTTCCCCAAATGATAGAAAAACCACGAAGGAGCTTTACAAATTATTCAATTCTTTTTTTTTCTTTTTTTTATTTTTTCAAAGTATTTATTCTTTAGTTGAATGCCTTGGGATAGCAACCAATAAGTCATTCCTTTTCATTAACTTTTATTACAGAATTTGTAGAATTTCATTCACTGTAGAGGTCTGAGCCATAGCCCAGTGTTGTGGACGGAAGGCTGGCTTTGGAGTCCAGAATGCCTGGGTTCAAGTCCCGTCTCTGACACAGCCTGGCCAACGGTGTGGCCCTGGGCCTCTCAGTATCCCCCAGGCCCCTGTCTCAGCCTCTGAAGTTACTGCAGCTTGTCTGTCTGCTTCCACAGAGGGAGTTTCTATATTGGGAATGCTCTCTGCCAATGAAATTACAGCTTTGGCCGCCTCCCTTCCTATCCTCAAAACCAGAGGAGTTAGAGGCTTCCCTAAAAACATTCCATTAGGGAAAATATCTCAGGATTGGGCATTTGGTGGCATGGGAGTGAAGTTAAGAATGTGAGATACATTCTTAAGTGACCCAAATAGAGATGAGAAAACCTCTGAATTAGGCCTTTAGAAACTGTGCTGCCCTCATAGCTTTAGAGATATAGATCTGGAAAGGACGGCAAAGACCATCGAATCTGACTCCCTCAGCTGGGGAAACTGAGGACTGAGGAGATTCAGAGAAGGAAGGGCCATGGAGGTCATCTAGTGTGACCTTTTCGTTTTACAGTTGAGGACCCTGCCGACCAAAGTTGGGAGAGGTCACTCTGTGTCCATGGCTGCCCATTGTCCCAAACAGTAAAGGTCTTCCCTAGGGCCAGCTGCTCTCTGCTGTCTACTCCGAAGGCATCTGGGAGGATTTGTATCAACTTTACATTGGACTTGACTCCCTTGTAATGACCCAGAGATCAATGGGAAATCAGGGCAGCTCTGCCTTAGGGGGCTGGCCAGCATCAAGGGCCCGTGGGGGCAGAGAGGAAGGTGGGCATGAGAATGAGAGCCCCAGGGTGCTGCCAGCTCCACCTAGTAGGAAGAAAAGCCCTCCACTGTGTGAGGCAGCAACTCTATGGGGATTTTACGGAAAAGCCATTATTGCCATTGAGTGCGAAGGTATGGATGGGCCGCAGTGTGCCTGAGGAGCAGGAAGAGACGTTCCACGGTCACAAACCCACCAGGGTATTAAGGATTGAAGTCACCAGCCAGAAGCTTAGAAGCAGTGCATCTGGGGTTATTTCACTGGCTTTAGGCTTTTAATGTCTATGAGCCTAGCACTGTGGGAGGTTCCTCAGGACCCTGCCTTTACGAAGCTTCCATCCCACTTGAGGAGATGAGCACTTGTGAGATAGCTGGGGAGCCGGGCTCCGCCAACAGGGCAAGGAGAGGAAGGTGGTTTGATAGATGCACACTCTGAGTGGGAGCCCGCTGGGCTTCTGGCTGCCTGCCCAGGGCCTTCCCTGGAGTTCAGCGCCTTCCCTCAGGCTCTGGGCCTTCCCTCCAGCTATATCCCCGGGCTGCACCCCCAGGCTGCCTTCTGTCCTCCCAGGCCAGGCAAGCCCTCTGCCATGCCAGGCACTAGAGCCATGTCCTTTCTTTTTGACAGTATTTAGACTTTGCTGAATTTGAAGACACTGTGAAGATATTTTTAAAGGAGTGCAGAAGTAAAGGGAAGCCATTGTGCAAAACCCCGTCTGGCTCTTTGAGAGACTCAAAAACGCTGATTATCCAGGTAATGCCTCTCTTGCCTTTCACTGAGTAGATGATCAGGCTGCCCCTGACATCTTGAAAGTGCCAGGCTCCTGGGCAAGCATCTGGGCAGGGGAACTGGAGTCTTTTTTTTCTGAAGGTGTTTAAAAAACTGGCTTTGTGTCATTTCATCTCCATCCCTTTGCATCCTGCTAGGAGACTCCCCCCATTTGGCCTCTCATGTATTTATGGGAAGAGAGAGCTGAAAGGCAAAGCAGACCCTGCAGCCTGCCCAGTCCACTACAGTCTTCACCTGGATAAGAGACTTGCAGGGACAGTGGACAGCAGATCTTAAGTGGCCAAAACTCCCTCCACTTTGTGGCCCTGGGCAAGTCATTTGACCCTCTGGGGACACAGATACGTTTCATCTGTGAAATGGGGATGACATCTGTAGTACTTAACCCACAGAAAGCCCTTTGTATTCTGCCAAGAGTTATGGAAGTGTGAGGTCATGGGATTATTTTATTCCTAAATTGGAATGAAGGAAGAGTAGGGGATTCTGGGTCCTGAAGGAGTAGGGTGAGTCACCCAGGGCCAGTGGTCGCTCTGCAGAAGTGGGGGCACCTGCTTCCTCTGGCACGGGCATTGATTCCTTCTTTTGTGGGATGGGCTTGTCTGGGTCACTCGTTGAGAGCAATGGACCATGTTTTCTATGTGTTTGATGCCCTGAAAGCAAGGGGTGGTCGGGGAGAGACGCTTTTTGTCCCTTCAGCTGAGGGGAGGGGCCCAGAGGCTGCTGACAGCCCGCTCGAACCAGCGCCTACCTCCCCTCCTCTCTTTGCCCAGTGTGGCTGACTGGCTTCCCGGGGAGCCCTGCGTATGGCCAGAGCCCACCCCACTCCTTCAGGGCATGCTGTTAGTTGTAGGAGGTGACTAATGAGAAAAGAAGTGATGAGGGCTCCCCCCCCCAATGTGAACGAGGTGAAGGGCAGCCCCTCCTGCCGAGAGAGCAGAGGTGTCAGCTAGGGCAGGTCCTTCGAGGCTCTCTACAAGGCTTCAGCCTCTGCTCCCTTCCCACCAGCCCATCTTAGGGTCAGGCTTTTTAGGTGCCCAGTATATCGCTAAGGCAGCATGATCAGCTCTTGGTTCTTTCCTGTTCCTCTACCCTCTGATGCCTCATAGTGGCACAGGTGAGGGGGGCTCTCAGGCTGGGCCAGAGAGTCTTCAGTTTATCTCCAGGGCTGGCCATTCACTGTCAGTTGTCCTGGCACTGTCCTAGCTAGGATCAGAGACCCTCAGCTCCGAGCCAGTCAGGGCTGTGCTAAGTCACGGAGGAGTTCTGCTCTTCCTGGCTGAAGAAGGAGTGACTCGCACTCATGGCATCCTAGAATTAGGAGGATTGCCCTGACTCCCTCACGTTCTTCTGGCACAGGCCCCATGGTACAGGGGCGTCTTAGGGGAATGAGCACTTTGAGCTGTGGCTTCTGTGCCGACAAAGTTTTTAAAATAGATTTGACTTCTCCCCCACAGAAAGATCTAATTACCGCATTTGATAATGGGGACCAGAAAGGCTTCTTTGACTTATGGGAGGAGCACATCCCAACCTCTGTCCGAGAAGGAGAGACTGTGGCCCAGAAGCTGGAGTTCTGTCTCCACATCCACTTTGCCATCTTCCCGCTGAAGCGCATCTCTGGAAAACCGGTAGGTTTCGGTGTTGGCCTTGGGACCCATCACAGTCTCCTGTCGGATCAGGACTGCTCATCACTTTTTCTCACAGGTGGGAGCGATGTTATTGGCCGTGTTCTTCTGTCTTTGGGATTGGATCTTCCAGGGTATAAAAAGGCTGGAAAGAGCCTTTCTATCCCCTTGGATGGATAGTAAATAATAGCAACAGTGATTTCTAGAATTAAAGGTACAGTGTTATTTTAAATTAGCTAATTTTTTTTAGGCAATTGGGATTAAGTGACTTGCCCAGGGTCAAATTAGCTCATTTTTTAAAAATCTGGTGTAATAAAGAATAAATTTAATAGATCCCTTGAATACAGTCCAGAGTTTTGGCAGTTCTATCTGAAGGGGCAGAAGTAAGTAGGCTATAGGGCAGGGGGTGAGGGGTAATTGCCCTGGGAATTGAAGGCAGGAAGGAGACAATGGTTTGCAGTCCCCTCCCCCAACCTGACCTGCTTTGGGAGGTAGGCCCCATGAGGAGTCCCCATCGGGGTGGAATTTTCTGGCCAGGCAGCAGGAGTGGACTGGACACACTAACGCCCTCCCACCCCGTTCTCTTCTGGTTATGTAGCTGCCTCTGGGCTGGGGGTGGGGAGCAGAGAAGGTGCTTCGGGCCCATTACTGGTTGCATTCATGTCCTGCCTCGGATAAACTTGTCCTTGGGCAGTTTGTGTCTTCCATCACTGCTCCAGGCAACTGTAGAAGGCCAGGTAGTGCCAGTCTGTTGGCAGAGGCCACCACGAGTGGAGGTGGCTTAAGTGCTGGCAGGCCAATAACTTGGTTCACCCCAGAGAGTTAATTCATCATGGGTGAGGTAGGCTCAGCCCTCCAACAGTGACCTTCTAAAATCTAGAGGACCGAGATGGGCAGAAACCTGTGGGCAGGCAGAGATTCAGGCCAAGAAGTCTTTACAGGGTCAGGACACAGGCATGCAGGCAGTGCAGGAGAGCCAGTCAGTGAGCATTTATTAAGCACCTGCTGTATGCTGGGCTGCAAAGAAAGGGAAGAGACAGTCTTGCCCTTGGGGAGCTCCCAGTCTAAGTGGCGAGACGACATGTACAAGGAAGATATAGACAGGTTTGGTTGGAGGTCATCAACAGAGGGATGCACTGGCATTAAGGGGGACCAGGAGAGGATCCCAAAGAGGGCAGGATTTTAGCTGGGGTTTGAGGGAAGCCAAGAAGTGGATGAGAAGGGTGAGCATTGCAGGCATGAGGCACAGCTAGAGAAAAGGCCTGGCAGTGGGAGATGGCAGGTCATGTATGAGGAACAGCTGGGAGGCCAGGCTCATTTGTCTGGCTGAATGTGTTCCCCAAAGCTCTGTTCCCTTTGTGTCAGATGTCAGTGTTCCCCAATGTCCCTCGAAGTCTGCTTGTTAGCTGGACTGGGGGGACCAAGGATGGACAAGAACCTGGAAAAAAGGCTTCTCATTATTAATTAGGACAGTGTGTTTCTAAGCTCTTTGTCAGGCCTTTCTTGACTTGAAATCATAATGATCAAAGAGCATTTGTTCAATGCCTAATCATGAATGAGAGATGCTGGAAGAGATATATGCACCAGACTGCCTACTTGAAATGCCTTCCCTCAGGGGGCTTACAGTCTGACAGATGACTGATGTGAATGGATAAGAAGTACAGTGAAAGGGGCAGCTAGGTGGCGTAGTGGATTAGAGCTCTGGCCTTTGAGTCAGGAGGACCGGAGTTCAAATCCCAGCCTCAGACACTTGGCACTTCCTAGCTGTGTGACCTTGGGCAAGTCACTTAACCTCAATTGCTTCACCAAAACAACAACAACAACAAAAAGAGTAGGTCTAGAAGTACAGTGATAGTCGTGGTGAGTGGCCCTGGGACTTCATGGGTCTGGGGAACTCCCAGATGAAGACATGCCCTCCACCAGTGCAGGTTGGTCCCTGTAGTCTTAGAGAGTTATCCAGGGTATTGAGAGAGGATGCAGATCACCCAAGGTTATCCAATTGGTATGTGTCCTGGGTGAGACTCGAATCTGGTCCATCCTGCCTCTAAGTCAGTCTCCCTGCCCACTCCCCCCAGGCTGCCTTAAGAAATAGAGAGAACAAAATAAAGTTGTTGGACACGGACCTACATGAAACCAGGGAATGTAGAGAGTACACAGGACCCACAGGAGGAAGGGAGGCGTGTGGTTAGGGATGCGAGCTGGACGCCAGGTGTAGGGCCTGCCCCCAGTGCAGGAGGAGGCTGCTTGGGGCTGGTATTTCCGGCGTGGCTGGAGTGAAAACAGTGTTGTAAAGATCACGCACTCACTTAATCACTTGAGTGTTCGTAACCATCGACTAAGTAATCAGTAAATGGACAAGGAACAAGACGCTGCTGGAGCCCCAGCTCTCCACAAGCCAAGAGCCGAGGGAGCCAAGGAGCAGCAGAGCCAGGATGTGCCTTTGTTCTCAGTCTGCCCCAGTCACGCAGCGTCCCGCCGACAGCTCAGCAGCCCCTCGTATAGGGCTCGCCGTCTGTGGGGGGGGTGGCATATTCAGTTTTTATGGCACCAGGGCATTTTGGGGTGTGCTCTTTGAGCCAGAAGACCTGATGCGGAGGCGCACGAGCTGTGTGACCCTGAGCCAGTGGGCCAAGGTGCTTCATGAAGGCTCTCAGCAAGGGTGGAGGAGGTATTGGTCCACACCCGAAAAAGGGATTTTCTCCACGCAGTTGACATCCCAGGTCTAGACAGAAAAATATGCCAGGTTCCATTAGCGTCCTCTCATTTATCAAGCCACTCTCCAACTGTTGGACAAGGGGTCGTTTCCAAATTTTACTATTACAAGTAGAGCAGTTGTGAATAATTTTTGTGCTTCTGGCTCTTTTTTTCCCTTTTGTGATTTTTTGGGATGAATCTTAGTGATAGAGCTTCAGGATCAAAAGGCGTGTTTTTTAATCACTGCATTGTGTTCTCCAGAATGTTTGCGCTGAAGCACAGCCACACCGGCATTGTATGGGGGGCAAGGGGTGGGCCCTGGGGCATAACTGAATGAAGGGATCGACACGTTTGGCTGGTTATTGAAGGATGTTTCAGGCACATGCATACTCACACACCCTCTTACGTAAATCCACACTCTCACGCACGCGCACACGCACACACACACACGCACACACATACTCACCCTCCTACGTAAATCCACACTCTCACACACACACACACACACGCATACTCACACACCCTTCTGTGTAAATCCACACACTCACATATCCTCACACACTACACTCACATATACATTCACATGTGTTTACACATGCATGCACATACACACACACGTACCCTAAAGGAAGGCACCGTTGCCGAGTGACTTTTAGACAGCCAAGAGACAAGGGCTGAGCCGCCAGGTGAGCGCTGGCAGTAATTCAGAGGTGAACTTCTTCACTTACTCCATAGGACAAAGCGGAATTTGATGAAAGGATTTCTTACTTCAAAGCCTACCTGGAGACCAGAGGAGCAGCACTGAGCCAGACCACGGAGTTTCTTCCATTTTATGCCCTTCCCTTTGTTCCCAACCCCACGGTGCATCCTTCCTTTAAGGAACTCTTCCAGGTAAGAGCCATCCTTTTTTTTCCCCCACTTTTTTTTTTATTAATATATTTTGCTTTATCAACAATCATTTCCACGAGCTTTTGAATTTTAAATTTTTCTCCCCCTCCCTCCCCCGCTCACTCCCCAAGATGGCATGCAATCTGTGCATATATATCCACACATACATATACGTTCCTATTAAACATATTTTTACATTAGTCGTGTTGTAAGGAAGAATTAGAACCAATAGGAAGAACCACCAGAAAGAGGAAACAAAAAACACAACAGAAGAAAAAAATAGCACATAGTCTGCTTCGATCTGCATTCAAACTCCGTAGTTCTTTCTTTGGATGCGGATAGCACTTTCCATCATGAGACCTTTGGAGATGTCTTAGATCCTTGTATTGCTGAGAAGGGCTAAGTCTATCAATATCAGTCATAGCACAACGTGGCTGTTGCTGTGTACAATGTTCCCCTGGTTCTGGGTAAGAGCCACCCTTTGCCTGTCACTGTGGTTTTACTCTGAAAGTCGGTAGGTTTGAGGGGAAGGTTGGAAAATGTCCAGTTTTGTTACGTTACATTACAGAAGGAGGACCCCGCTGCTTTATTAGAGTGGCTGGCCAATGTGAGAAACTTCATTAATGTGTTCACTGGGAATAAGGCTGAAGCACTGGGTGACAGTGAGGAGCGCAGGACTGTACCCCAACAGTAGTGATGCACAATTGGGGGCTGCAGGTCATGGAGATTTTCATTTTTTGTTACAATTCTCTGTTGCCTTCTGTTGGATTTCTTCATTGCCTGCTGCTATATCTCAGACAGTTTGCCTGTGGCTGAGTTAATGTTACTTTTTCCTGGTGTAGGGTTTTTAATATAGTTTTATTATATGTAACATGATTTGTCTAATAAAGTGGATCTCTGACCCACTCCATTAGGAGGCCCCACTAATCCTCATCTTGGGATCCCTTTGAAGCAGCCTCTCAATTTAAAAAAATTATTTTATTCTGAATTTAAAACACCAAAAAGAGAAAGCATTTCCATAAACACAACAGAAAACAAAAAGAATTCTATAGGAAGCCATGGATCTCTATTTCACACCATTTTTTAAAAAAAGCATATAATAAAAAGTTACTCTTTAAATAGTAATTTTTAAAGCTGTCCTTTTCTGTGCTTCCTTCTGAACTTCCTTCTGTTATTTTCTTTTTTTAAAATTAATTTATTTTGATTTATCAACAAAAACTTCCATATGCTTTTGAGTTGAAGATTTTTTCTTCCCCTTCCTCCCTACCACCCTCCCCAAGACGGCGCACAATCTGATATAGGTTATATATATATGCATTCCTATTAAACGTATTTTCACATTAGTGATGTTGTAAGTAAGAATTAGAACCAATAGGAGGAGCTACCAGAAAGAGGAAACAAAACACAACAGAAAAAAATATCAACTAGTCTGCTTCGATCTGCATTCAAACTCCATAGTTCTGTCTTTGGATGTGGATGGCATTTTTCCATCACGAGGCCTTTGGAGATGTCTTAGATCCTTGTGTTGCTGGGAAGGGTTAAGTTTATCAATATTAGTCATCGCACAACATAGCTGTTATTGTATACAGCATTCTCCTGCTTCTGCTCACTTCACTCAGCATCAGTCCATACAAGTCTTTCCAGGTTTTTCTGAAGTCAGCCTGTTCATCATTTCTCATAGCACAATACTGTTCCATTACATTCACATACCACAACTTGCTCAGCCATTCCCCAATTGATGGGCATCCCCTCAATTTCCAATTCTTTGCCACCACAAAAAGCGCTGCTACAAATATTTTTGTACACGTGGGTCCTTTTCCCATTTCTCTTTGGGATATAGCCTTAGAAGTGCTATTGCTGGGTCAAAGGGTATGCACATTTTTATAGCTGCTATAAAAGGTTTTGTACATGTGGGTGCTTTCACATTTGTATGATCTCTTTGCGATACAGCCCTAGAAGTGCTATTGTTGGGTCAAAGTGTATGTACATTTTTATAGCTCTTTGGGCATAGTTGCAAATTGCTCTCCAAAACGGTTGGATCATTTCACAACTCCACCAACAATGCATTAGTGTTCCAATTTTCCCACATCTTCTCTGACATTTATCATTTCCCTGTTTGGTCTTCTTGGCCAATCTGATAGGTGTGATATGGTGCCTCAGAGTTGTTTTGATTTGCATTTCTCTAAACAATAGTGATTTAGAGCATTTTTTCATATAACTATAGACGGCTTTAATTTCTTCATCTGAGAACTTCCTGTTCATATCCTTTGACCATTTATCAGTTGGGGATGTTATTTTCTATGCATGTGAAAAAACCGCTTCAGTGACCCTCTTGAAAAACTCTCGTCTTCTCCAACCCCCACCTACCACTAGCCCAGAGAAAGAAACAGATAAGCAGTGTTGGGCAAAGCAACTTCCCAGAGCGGCCATTCCCAATGTACCCCTCTGCACCTTTCATCCATCCCCTCCTGTCAGGAGTGGGGAGCATCCTTCATCCCAGGTCCTTTGGAGACATGCTGGCTCATTGCATTGATCAGAGTTCTTGAGGCTTTGAAAGGTATTTTCTTTCAGTGATATTGCTCTCGTACAAATCGTTCTCCTGGTTCTGCTCACTTCACTCTGCGTCAATTCATGCTACGTAGAACTCTCTGAAATCATCTTTTTGTTTTTTCATTTCTTATAGCTCAGTAATATTCCATTACCTTTATATGCTGCAATTTGTTCAGCCATCCCCCGCTGTCCATGAGACAGTCTAAGGCATCCTGCTTAGATTCTACCCTCCAGTTCTTATTCAGCCCTGTTCTTTTCATCAGAAATGCTTGAGAGTCCTTTGTTCCATGATAGATCCATTTCCCCGTGCCCCCCCTCCGCCTTTAGGGTTACGCTTCGGTTTGTAGTAGCTTGGTTGTAAGCCTGTGTCTTTTTTGCCTTTTGGAATACTATATTCCGAAATCTCCTCTCACTGACAGGAGAAGCTGCCAGGACTTCTGGCGTCCTGACTCCTTGGTACTTGAACTTCTCCCCTGTGAAGGTTTGCAGTGTTTTTTCTTTGATGTGGGAACTCTGAATTTTGCTGTGACGCTCTTGACTTTGCCCTTTGGGGCTCCTTTCAGGAGGTGATCAGTGTGTTTTGTCTTCACTTTGCCCTCTGGTCCTAATCGATTTGCACAGTTTTCACTTATGATTTCTTGAAATGTAATGTCCCAGCCTTTTTTTCCTTTTAATTATGATTTTCAGAGAGTCCAGGGATTACTTAGTTATCCCTTTGCTCTGTTTCCCACGTCATTTGTTTGGATGCCAAACATCGGAATGTTTTCTCCTATTTTTCTGATCGTTTCTTGCTCTCTCGTGGAGTCATTGATTTGGCTTGATCTGTTATGGCTTTCATGGCATTCTGATTTTTTAAAAAAAATAACGTCATTTTTTTCCTCAACTACATGTAAAGACAATTTTTAATATTCAGTTTTTTAAAATTTTGAGTTCCGAATTTTCTCCCTCCCTTTCTCAGATCCCTCCCCCCCGCCCAAGAAGGTAAGCAGTTTGGTGTAGGTTATATGGGTGCGATCGTGTAAAACATATTTCCATATTAGTCACGTTGTGAAAGAAGAAATAGACCAAGAGCAAAAACACGAACAAGATACAGAAAGTGAACACGCTGGTATCTGCATCCCGACTCCATCCATTCTTTCTCTGGATATGGATGGCATTTTTCATCATGAGTCCTTAGGGACCGCCTTGGATCACTGTGTTACTGAGAAGAGCTGAGTCATTCACAGTTGGTCGTCCCAGGATGGAGCTTGGGATCGTAATAAAACACTGTCTGCATGTCCCTAAAAACAGTCTGGCTCGTTCTCCTTCTGCTGTTCATTCTCGATCTGAGTTCGTTGTTCATTCACACAACCCTCCAAGAACTGTGTCCGACGGACCGTGTCCGTGGGACGCCCGTCCGGCTACACGCCGTAGTCTGGACAGTGGGCGTTCCGTGCCCGCTTGTTTCTTGCTGGGCACATGGGTAAGCCAGACTCTTGAAGGATTATGGCCCTCACGTAAGAGCGGCCGTGTGGTCAGCAGGGGAACACCAGGACGGTCTGGAGGACTTCCCTCTCTGTGGGGAAAGTCTCTTCGCTTTGACCTTTGCACTTGACCTTTTTCCACTTTGTTCTAGAACGCCTCATTCTACCAAATCAGATGGTTTTTGTTATCAACAAATGGCAAGTTCAGTGGGATCTTATCTCTCTGCATCCTGTAGTCCTTTGTATGACAGTAAAGGTGGGGCTGGTCTCCTCGGTGGAACTAGCCCGTCTGTTTCCTTGTCTCCTCATCACGCAGGTTCCCAGAAAGATTTTGTAGAAAATAAGGGCTAGTTAGGGATATTCTCTTGGCCACTTTTTTTTTTGGCAGTACAGTCCCAGATTTTTCCAAGCCTTTGATATTCTCCTGAGGATCAGCGCTCTCCAAACCGTCTCCCTTCCAGCACTGACGTCCTCTGTGCTGGGGGTCACATTCTTCTCTTTCCGTCGCCTCCCACCTTCCTCATGCGACATGTGGGCACTGGGGTCTCAGGGGCCAGATGTGGTGGCTCTGCCTTCACTAGTGACAGAAATGGCAGTCGCTCCCCGGCCGGCCTCTGCAGATCTTTTCCGTTTTTTCTCTCTCGTCCTCACTCCAGTTTCATCCCGAAAAGTCCGTGGGTTGACTTCACTTGGTTGGGCTCTTTCAAGCTCTCCACAAAGTTGGTTTTACCTTCGGTGATGTTTGCTCATAATTTTTTGCCACCTTCCTCTACAAAAGTTTGTGCTGACACTGCCCTTGACTGCCGCATCACTCTCTTTGGCAAGGAAGCGAGGTATTTGCTGGCTAAATCTATGCTATCAACAGAGAATTATAATAGACATGGTTAAACAAAGGTCTGTGTTAGTTAATTGTCCCAAATGGTAACTAACAGAAGAGCCATCTACTGGGCGCCTTGCAGCCCCTGCCAGGGTTTTTAAGCTGCTCCTTGTCAGCTCTCACAGCAGTCCAATGCAGGAGACCTTTTCCTATTGAATAAAACAACAAATCCTGCGAAAATGGAGCCAGGAGCACAGCTTTTACAAATAAGCATTCTATCCCCCCGTGTCACAAAGTTGCTGATATTTGTGTAACAAAAGACTCTTAGTCACCCATTTGTATCTTTGAAAAAGTCAGAAAGTTCACCCATAGCACCACCGTATTGAATGGGACTCAGGTTGGCCGAGTTGGAGGCTGGGATACTTGTCCAGGAAAGTGGCAGCTGGAATGATTCTGGAGAGAGAAACTTGCTTGTTTTTTGAAGAATTCCCTTGTATTCAATTTAACCAGCATCGATTCAATATAGAACAGTATATGAGAGGTGTGCGTGTACGCGTTGTGGAACAAGCCGTGGGGTCAGGTGAGCTCGCTCACTTCCTGTCCCTTAACCTCTTGGATCCTTGGTTTACTCATCTGTTCAATGCTCTGATGATGTCAGGGTTCTGGCCTAAGGACAGTAGACTTAAAACTCTTGAATAACTGTTGCAGTGTAATTGGTTTCCTTTGTAAGCCTTGGCATTTTATTTTATGCATTTACAGCCGTGCTTCTGAGAAGGGCTCTATAGGCTTCCCCAGACTCCTGGCCCGAAAGGCCAGTGCTTTCAGACCTAGTGATTGCTCTGACTTCCATTATTCCATAGCCTGGGATTCTTCAAGAGCGTGGGCTCAGCCGTACTCAAGCTGTCTCTCCCAGAGTGCTGAGCTGACTGCTCTAGGGCACGGTAGGTACTCAGCATACTTGTTGGGTGACCAGATGAAGGAAGGGGCAGGGGAGGAGGCTTAAACAGTCCCTGCCTTCGTGGAGATTACCATCCAGTCTGGGCCTAAGACAAGGCGGCTGGAGCTGTGGTTGGAGAGCTGGCTTTGGAGTCCCGAAGACCCAGGTACAAGTGCTGTCGTGTGACATGTTAGCTCCTGGCTGTGAGGCAGCTTGTCTGCCCCTGCACTGAGGAAGTCACCCTGCCCTCTCCCGTAGGGCCATGTCAGATCCCTGGATAGTGGTGATCCTTGGTGGGATGGGAAGGTGGCGTGCGAGATGGGTGATATGTGGTGGCAGAAGCTCTACTCGTTGGAGAGTGTGGACGAGGAAGGCTGACTTGGAGGGCCCGGTGGGATGGAGATGCGCCACCGCCCTGCAGGAAGACCTCGCCAGACACCTCATCATCTCCGGTGAATGTCAATGGCCGCTGAGTGACAGCAGCTCTCATTCCTTTCCCATACACGCTGGGGCCAGGGAAGGGAGTCCCCTAATCGTGATGAAGCCGCCCACATAGTTGCTGTCCTTTTTAATGCTGCTTTGGGGATGGCAGCCAGGGCCCCCATGCATGCCTGAAATGTTCTTGGCATTTCCGCCCAACAAGATGACTTGATGTACGTGGTTTTAAATTACACAAAATATTCAAATAATGTGCTAGGATTCTTCTTTCCCTGTCTGTGTATGAAACGGCTATGGTAATTTGTTTCCCTTCTGAGTATTTATAGGTCTGTATAAATGAATGAGCCAAACTGTCTGGAAGCTGTATCACTGCAGGTTGTCTGGGGGCCCCTGCACCCAGATGGCGGGGCAGCTAGATGCCGCTGTACGTATTTGGTGAACGGACACTCACATGGCTATTGCTTTGTTTGCCTCCTAGGATTCCTGGACTCCAGAGTTAAAGATGAGGTTGGAAACATTCCTGTCGTCCACTCTCAAAGCCAGTAATACCCCACGGCTTTTTACTCTCTATGTATCCTTCTGACACAAACGTAGAGACCTAAAATAGACGGGCTTTCTTAGACTTTGTTTAAACTGGTGGCTCAGGGCCCCTAAACTGAGCTACGAGACCGTGCATCTCATTTGGGGAATGGTGAATGAAACGTTTGCCTCCTGCAGGAAGAAGCCAGTCTTCACGAAGCAGGCCATTAAGCTCGAGTTTCAAACATTAGGCCAGAGGTTGGATTCAGACTCTTTTTTTTGTTTGTTTTTGGCTAGGCAACGGGGTTAAGTGACTTGCCCAGGGTCACACAGCTAGTAAGTGTTATGTGTCTGAGGCCGGATTTGAACTCGGGTCCTCCTGAATCCAGGGCCAGTGCTATATCCACTGTGCCACCTAGCTGCCCTCAAACTCTTTTTTTTTATTTAAAATTTTTTTTTGATCCAAACACTAAATTTTAGAGCCAGAGAGAGCCTTAGCCTTAATAGAAAAAACCTCTGGGGATCCATCTCCTTCTGTAAAACTGGGGGTTGAATTAATTAACTAGGGCTTCCTTCATAGGCTTATGGCGCTTAGACCTTTTATGGTCATATCCCAAATGTTGTTATCTACTTTCTGTGTGCCTTCTTTCTTTACCAAAAAGCCAGGCCCTGATTTCAGAAGAAGAACATGCCTTCTTCAGGGGTCTGCAGCATTCTTTCTGCATCTCTCTTATGGAGACTGTGTGGTCCAGTGCAATACCAGATTTGGGGTCAGGTAGGGAACCAGCCCTGGCTCAGACACTCACTGGGCCCATATGGTACTTTACTTGTCAGAGACTTGGTTTCCCCAAATGCTGCACTGCTGACCCCACAGGATTGGGGTAGGGAGCGTGTTGTTTGTAAACCTTTATTCACATGCTATTTAAACGTAAACATTTATCACATTATTGTGACTTGATTATAATTCTCTGCTCCTTTCCCAGGATTGCTCAGAGTAGGAGCCTAAAGCTTCCTTTAATAATTATTCTTTGTGATTGATATTATTGGTTGGGAAATAGCTGTCAGCTCTCCATTAGCCTGCTTTGATATTTTGGAGCCCAAATGTTAGACCATGCTGGTCTACCCAGCCTGCCATGAAGCTTTTCCTCCAGTGAGCTTCAGTCAGCTAGCACACAGTAAAGGAGACCCTCCTCCTTTGGGGTCCTAGAGACGCCACCTAAAACAGGGGTGTGTAAAGCAAATATTGGAACTCCAATTCTCTAAGAGACCTCGTTGATAATTTTTAAAAAATAGACTCTTTGTTGGTTTGAAAATTAACTAGGTTTTGACCCCTATAGGCCGTGACTGAGGAGTTGGTAACTGGCAGGCTATGCATCTGGGGGCTGGCTTTTAGTATTATGTGACCCTGCTGAGGTTCTGTCTTATGGGAGGGTGCCAGTGATACCCACTCTTGCACTATGGGAAGAGGGAGGTGTTTGGAGTGGTCGCAGGGCTCGGGTTCAAATCTGGCTCTCCCACTTATCGGCCATGTATGCTTGGGCAAGTCACGTGACTTCTGCAGGCCTTCATGTCCTCCTCTATACAATGAGGGGGTTGGCCTCGCTGACCTCAGAAGGCTCTTCTGTCCCAAGATCTGGGATCCCCTCACTCTTGGGATATTTTTCCTGAACTTTTTTCATTTCACAGAAGGAGAATGGGCAGAGCAGCAAAGGTAAGCTATCACTCTGCTGTGTGTGTGTGTGTGTGTGTATGTGGAACAGGTTTCGTGATGTGGATCGTGAAGCATTTGGAATGTAGAACTCAACCCATCCATAGGATTTAATAGTCCTGTTTTCCTTAAAGAACCAGCCCTCTCAGTTCCCAGAGGCCCGGCTTCCATTCAGCTCAATGAGAATTGCGCACGCGTAAGAAAAGGCAGACTATTGTTTCTCATCCAGCCCGCGAGTGCCGGTTGTTACAGTTGTCACGTAGACGTGAAAGTCAGTTCAGGAGATACATTTGATTTTGTTTGGTGTTCACAGAGGTAGAGCTGGGGGGGAATCCTGATCGCTAATCCCCAAACTCCCCAGATGTGGATGCCAACACCCTGAGAGGCCGAGGCTGCCGCAATGCTGAGCAGCTGCGGTGGTAGCTGAGCCCAGGTTCCATGAGCTCTTGGATGAATTCCAAACTCACGTTTCTCAGCCAACACATAAGGTCATGGGAGATGGTCGGAATTGTTGGCTCATTCATCCATCTGTCTATTCATTAAATGTTTATTGAGCATCTGCTAGCAACATCTTACTGTGCACGCCCCAACAAAATACAATGCCTGGTCCCTGCACTGAGAGAGCTGATTATTTTGCGAGGCTTGGGGTAGGGAAGGAGGAGGGGCAGGAATCCTTGGCACATCTCATGTTAACTCAGCTGTCACAAGATGGAGTCCAGAGGGCGGGTGAAGTCCTGGTGGCATCCACATCCTGGGAGCTGCCCGTTTGCCAATCGAGGCAGGTGGGCTGGTCAGTAACCAGGGGAGCTTGGTCTTAGCAGAGGAGGGCTTTGCCACCATGTTTGTGATTCCTCAGGACCAATCAGAGGAAGGCATTTGGCAGATCAAGTAACTAAGAAAAATGTGCCCCAAAGCCGCCCAGGATCTTACCGTGCCAGAATAAAAAAGCACGCTCTGTCGCTTAATGCTCAGTGTAAAGGAGGCTCTGCCACCTCCACAGGGAAATGTGGGTTCAGGGCACAACCTGGACCAGACCTCATAGGCTAAGATCTTGTTTCAATGACTTTACAGAAAGTATGTCGTTAAGAAAGCCACGTGGCCATATGGGAGTGAGAGATGCCATGCCCACAGGCTTTTCTCCCATCTCATCCCTCTTTGTCTGGGCCACACAAACAGAGCCTCGCCATGGTGATCGTGAGGGTCTGCAGCAGGAATCGGTGTTTGTACCAAACTGAACCATCGTCCCAGTTTGGGAGATGTTTCAGTTATCATTCTTGTTGGGAGATTGCAACCGACCTTTAGGAGGCCTTAGGGGCAAAACCCCAGAGTTCTGGTGGCCAGGAGAGTTGCTACGTTAACAGAAGACTCTCCACTCTCCCAGCTTTGCGGGGGGGTTTGTCCTTTGAAAAGTGAGATGAACACAGATCCCACTTGCTTCTGTCCCCCAATGCTAGGGTTAAGCAAGGCCCAAAATACTTTTAAAAGAAAACTTGGACCTTTTAGACTTGGATTTCTGGGCATTTTGGCATTGTTCAAAGAAGGTCAGGATTAAGAATTCTATTTTTGCCTCTGAAGGATTTGGCAAATAAAGTATCTTTTTTTTTTTTTTACGACCATGGGCACAAGTAGGGACCCCTAGAGGAGATGCCCTGGGGCCATTGCCCTACCTTTAGGGGGTCCAGGAGAGGCCTGTTCTGCCTGGCCGTTAAGGGAAGGCTGTCATTGTGTGTCTTAGATCTGACCGATGTAGGCTTGGTAGGAGAGGCAGGGGGTGGTTAGTGTGGGAGACACCCCAGGGTTTAGTCCTGCATCTCCTCCTGTCCTCTTTGTGGGATGCAGATGTTTCAGGCAGCTGTGCGGTCCATTGTTGTGATTTGTGCTCAGGTCCAGCCTCCTGCTGCCTATCCAAGCAGTGCCAAGCAGACTCATTCCCAAAATCCCTCCCTGGAGGAGGTGGCCAAGCCTGGGCCTGAGGCAGATGTGCCTCCCAGTGCTTCCTCCAGGGCAGGAAGCAGCAGGAGGGCCCTTCATGGCGGGGGACTGGCTGCTCTTCACTGAGGTGTGGCTATGTGCCAGCTCCCCCTGGGGGGCTGGGTGTCCCAGGAGCCCCATCCCCTCCTTCTGGTAGCTTTTCCCCAGTTTGGTGAGTGATAAAGAGTATAGGCCATAGGCTCTGGACCTGGACTCGGATAGGGTCGTGAGGATCCTGAGAGCAGAGGAGAAACAAAGTAGTGTGCCCTGGGCAGCAGGCCTTGAAAGGCTATTTCATGGTCTGAAAAACCAAGGGGGCTTCGCACAGCTGAAAGGCTAATCTGGATTGGCGCAGGCCGTCCAGATCAAGGCCAGAGGTGCAGTTTGGTGGTGGTCACGCCTGCCAGTGGACATCAGCACGTCTGGACAGAACCCGCTGCTCTCCAGACATCCCCATTCCTGCGGAGGGCACCCTGTGCCCCCCATACCGCTGATCATCCTCACCTCCTCACTCTTGTTCACCCCAAATCCTGTGGTCTCTGCATCCTGTCTCTTCTTCATGCTGACCACGGCTGGCCCAGCCCAGATCTGCATCACCTCTCATGTAGACATCAGCAGCCTCCTGATTGGTGTCCCTGCCTCGAGTCCTGCCCCTCTCCAGCCCCCAGGCCACTGAGCTGCCAAAGCAGCCTCCAGAAAGCACTGGTTTGACCATGTCACTCCCTGTTTAATGAACTCCAGGGGCTCCCTAGGACATACTCTGACATCAGCCATAAACTCCTCTTTGCACTCTGGCCCTAGCCTAGCTTGCCAGGCTTCTTACACACATACATACACACACACATGCACACGCACACGCACACACATGCATATACACATGACTCCTCTTCACACACATACCTGCGCATGTGCACACACGACTCCCCTTCACACACATGCACACACAACTGCCCTATACACACACAACTACCCTTCACACATGCATACACACATGACTCCCCTTCACACACATACACACATGCACACGTCTCCCCTTCACACATGCATATACACACAATTCCCCTTCACACACATACATACCTGCACACGTGCACACACAACTCCCCTTCACACACATACACACATGACCCCCTTCACACATGCATACACACACGACTCCTCTCCACATACATGCACATGCATGCACACATGTCTGCCCTTTACACACACATACACACATACACACGATTCCCCTTCACACACATACCTGCGCATGTGCACACACGACTCCCCTTTACACACATGCACATACAACTCCCCTTTACATACACATGTACACACATGCAACTGCCCTTCACACATGTGTGCGTGCACGACTCCCCTTCACACATGCACACACACATACTACTCCCCTTCACATACACACACACACACACACACACACATGGCATTTCGTGTCATTCCCTGTCCCTGCAGAGCTCAGAATCTTTCTCCACAGAATCTTTCCTGCTTCCCCCAGCTACCAGCCCCCATCTGCGCCCCCATCTCCCCCACCCCACTGCTGTGATCCCCTCATCTCTCTTGTAGGTGCCGCACCTTGGCTAGACTGTTGCTTTGTCCCCAGTGATCATCAGAAGGCCTACTACATCATAGAGCGTGAAGGCAGGTTGGGTCAGTCTCTGTGACCAGGCATTTAGTAAATGCTTCCTGTGCGCCTGGCCCACAGAGTGTCCTAGGGGTTACCAGGACCAGGTCTGATGTCCAGAGCTGATGCTTGTTAAGCCTTAGGCGCCCAATTTTCTTTCTAAAAAATAGCCCTGAGGCTCAGGTAGTGGAGGGGGAGGGCCGGTGGACACCTTGTTCCAGTTATTTTGCCAGAATCCTTCCCAGGTCACCGTCTCTGGGCTTCTCGGTTAATCAGAGTAGGTGTGGCCCGCCAGGTTTGAGGTTTCCTAACGGAGCCCCGATGCCCTGTTCCTCGGGGAGCTCTGCTAGGCGGGCAGCCTGCAGGGCTGAGAGGGGAAGGCAGCCCCTGTAAGGGGGGCCTGAGGAGGGGGAGCAGGCGGCCTTGGTCCTGAGCACTTGGTGCTGCCTCCTCCCTCGGTCTGTGCTTCGGTGCCTCCGGCTCACGTGTTTGATGCTCTCGAGCTGCCGCACGATCTCTGGGCTGTCTCTGAGCCCCACAGCCTTTGCAGAGACCAGGTAGAGTGATCTTGAGGGTTAGAAGGAGATGGACCATGGGGCAGGCAGGGTCCAAGAGTGGAGAGTGAAGGGGGTCCCTTGCTGGCATTGATCCCGGGGCGTCATCAGGCCGGAATTTGCAGGTCCCCAGCCTGGCTGGGATTCCGTGATTGAGTGAGAGCAGGTTCACTATGTCCATCCTGTGATCGAGGGGGTGGCCTGGGGAAGTGCGCGAGGGGCCTTATCACTGAAGGTGGTGGGATTTGAGATTCTTCCATTGCTGGAGAGGTGTGTGGGCAGGTCTGCGGACACGTCTGCCCCCGGGCTCAGGAGGGCTTTGTGCCATGCCCTGACTTAGGGCACCAAAGGAATTGTTTGGGTTGGTAGTGCTGGTCAGTGTGCAGCTCTGCCAGCTTATCCCACGTGAGCCAGGGCTCGGGTACCAGGATCCCCGTTGCCCAGTAGGAGACTCTCATCTGGGAGGGACGAGGGGCAAGGCCGTGGAGGCCGGCTGTCCACCCAGGGATCAGCTGGGGCACTGTGAAGACTTGAGCGCGATGGGTTTGACCAGTCGGGAAGAGCGGCTGTCTCTGGAGCCCTCTGCTGGTGAGTGGCAGCATTGCTGGAGATCGTACTGGCCATGGCCAGTGGTTAGGGAGGTGCCTGCCTGGGTGCGTGTGGGGTGCAGCAGAGGGGGAGGGTGAAGACTGAGCTTTGTCTGGGGCAGGGGAGCACTGTGTTTCGAGGGGTTCTGCCTCCCAGCAAGCTCAGGGGGGCCCAGCCCTGGACTGGCTATCACTGATGCCCCCCAGAGCCATGGGCAGGCCCTGCTGAGGGCAGGCCACCTAGCGGACAGAAGTGCAGGGAATTCT